TTTCTTTCTTTCTTTCTTTCTTTCTTTCTTTCTTTCTTTCTTTCTTTCACATTTTTAAGCAAATTACCTTTATTTGAAAAGCCTTGCCTAGTGGGTCTGACTACAAATGGACTAAGAATTAGTTTGTTCTCTAAAGGAGCATACTAGAATTGAAATTATATGCAAATACAAATGAAAACCATCTGTTTAGTTACTATTATATTTATTTAGGGCTTGTAAAGAAGGAAGATTTTTTTTATTTGTAGAGAAAGAATGGACTCTTTTTCAGTACCTGGAGATCTACAAGAAGGTTGAGAGACAATGTCCTCCATGATTTTTCAGGGTAAGATCTTGTTTCTCTCTTGAAAATAGCAAGCTACTGTATAGGCTAATACAGTAGCCAGTGTCCATCATAAGAGCCACAAGTGAGAAAACTCAATATCGTGAACTGGTGGATGTGCAGGGGTTAGTTACAAGTGAATGGGTGAAGAGTCAATTATGGGAGCATGGATGACTCAGACAGCTATTAATGAAACGCTTAACTCAGCAAGGATGACATATTAAAAAAAAAAAAAAAGCTGAGTCCCTAGAGTTCCCCGTAGGACTTTCAGGAAGCTCCACTAAAGAGCCTCCTCACCCCCAGCGATAAACCATTGCTCAGACAACCTCGGGGAGCCGTCGTGTGAATCTAGTTTCATGAGCTCTGTGAACCTCCTGAACCTCCCTGCCTTCTCTAGGAAGGAAATTTTCAATCTAGAGAAAATAGCAATGCAGTGTTCCTAAGTATCATTTGATATTTATAGAAACTGGAACACAATGTGGTCAAAAACTGGCTCTAGGTATGGAAACCATGAGTTTTGCTCCCCATTCAGGATCTGACTAAGATGTATTTTTTTTTTTCAGCTGCTTAATTCATTGTAAATACTTCCTAGTGTTTCTTTTATAGAACTTCTGTGTGTATGCTGTGAGATAGAGCTCAGAGTCGGGGTGATTCCTAGCTTTTGAAGTCAAACCCTCAGGAAAAAAATCTTAAACTGTCGAAATAAGCAAAGTGGTGGCTGAATGATCTTTGTGGTTTACCATCCTTTCTTCATGATATCTTGTAAATCTATAAATGTCAGAAAGCTAATATAGATACAAAAATATCTGTCCATAGAATTGCAATTGAGTGATTCATGCTAGAGTCTAAGACAATATTCTCATGTGGATAGAGGCAGTTTCACTTCCATCTGTAGATCAATTTCTACGTTATTCGAACCCTCTACTTATATCTAAGGATTTTCCTTTGGGAGGAATATGCTATTTCACCAAGTATTTACTAATGAATATGCTTATTTCACATATTTTTGCTGCATTTTTGCTTTGCATGTTTGGCTTACATTTTTATACAGACATATAAAATCCCATACCAAGAACATTAAACAGTGCTTTCTGAATTCAAACCTTATTGATAATAAAACCATGAAATCAGACAAGATGCAATGAAATATTTCTTTCTTTGCTGTTCAGGGAAGGAGATAATATGTGACCTTGCCTTGAAATGCAAATTAGTTACTGCAGAGCCTGTGTTAAGATGGAGGAGGCTGAGGAGTTGCTGTTAAACTCAGGGCAACACATCTCTCAGAAGAATGGAACCTCCTTAAAAGCAATGAAGAATGAAGCTACAGCTTGCTAACACCATTAATTGCAAAATTGTTTAATTGATTACAGGAAGAGTCTCTTTTCTCACACAATGCTTGCTAAGTGGATCTCTACTTCATTGTTTCACAAGCAAAAGTATTTTAAGACCTACTACAAACAAAGTGGAAGAAATAAAATAGAGATAGCTATCACCTGTTGAAGCACAATTTGTAGACAATGTTACTAGTGACTTTGCATTTGTTGCCAGAGTTGCTCTAAACAACTGTCTAGAAGGTTTTAGTGTCTAAGCTATGTAGATGAGAAAGCCAGCTCACCAGGCAGCTAAGTACCTTTCCTGGAAGACTTTTATGTAGAAAGGGCTGACGCTGGGGTTTAATCCCTTCTTCACTCTGAAGATGGTGAGCAGCCTTTATGTCGTGTGGCAAGTGGACATCTGACTTCTCCTTCTTCTATCTCACTCTGAATCCTACCTCCATCCAACTACCAGCCCTAAGGTCACAGCCTTAGAAGTCACAGAGTGGGATGGGCAGCCCCTGTCAAGTTAATAATGTTTCTGTGGGGACGGAAGAGAGCTGCTAGGGTCAGGAGTGCAGTGTGGAAGAACTGTTGCCAGTTGATGGTGCTTGCTTCCCATGCTGAGTGGAAAAAGAGAGGGATACACACACCTGTAGCTTTACCTTTGGCACCATTATGGGTTTTCTCTATCAGGAAGCAAGACCCAAGACACTGACCTTTGTTTAAGGTCAGGGTTAGATAGGTAAATTGGATTGAGTTAGGAAAGAACAATGAGAAAGAGCAATTCAAGCAGAAGGGACCAAAGTGGCCATAGAGGAGGGCGGCTGTGCAACTGGACATCAAATGACTGACTTGTCTGTGTCCTGAACTGATGGAGACAAAAGGAGAACCCACGAGAGGGCTCATCACAGACAAAGATAAACATCCCAGCTTAGATTCAGCTCCAGGCCAAGGTGAGAGCACACAGGACTCTGTAGGACAGAACAGTTCCTTAACTGAGTTTTTGCTCAAATATAAGTCTCTTTAAACAGACTTTTCTTGGGGCCATTTTTGAAACATGAATATAGGAAAAAATGAGGTCTGCAGATGTTTCTTATTATTTTAGATAGTAATGTAGTTTTGTCTGGTTTGCACGACTTTGTAAATAAATCATCGAGTTCTTTGGTCTGTGTGTCCAATAGGCTATATTGTAAAACATTCCAATCATTCTTATAATTGACTTCTTTGAAGAGTCTCTCTAGAAATATGGAAAGCTAAGGAAGCCACCATACACTTATCAATGTCTCAAATGGAAGATATTGACCTATTGGATCTCCAGACCTGCTTGGGAGTTGAGAAAAACGAGTAACTTCTGTGTGTAAAAGATCTCTTTCCAATATTAACTCTATTCTCATGCTGATAAATGGTATAGACCAAGAAAGGGGGAAGTGATTTTGATACCCAAATGAGGTTAATTTATCCCTAGCTTTAACATTTTTGTATTTGCTACATTGTGAATTAGTGTGATCTAACTAACTTGTTCAAAATCTTTTTTTTATTTTACTTGCTTTTTATTTTATTTTTTGATTCTTTTGGTTTTTATTTTTTAATGTAACAATTTTTAATACAAACTTTTCTCATTTTACATAGCTATTCCTGTTCCTACTCCCTTCCCTCCTCCTGCCCCACCCTTCCCCCATCCCACCTCCATCCACTCCTCAGAAAGGGTAAGGCTTCCCATGGGGAGTCAACAAAGTCTGACACATCACTCTGAGGCAGGACCAAGGCCCTCCTCCTCTATCCAGGCTGAGCAAGGTATCCTTCCAAAGAGAATGTGCTCCTAGAAGCCAGTTCAACCACTAGGGATAAATCCTGGACCCACTGCCAGTGGTCTCACAGACTGCCCAAGCCTCACAACGGTCCCCACATTCAGTGGGCCTAATTTGGTCCTATGAAGGTTCCCCCACTCTCAGTCCAGTCAGTGAGCTCTCACTAGTTCATTTCAGCTGTTTCTGTGGGTATCACCATCATGGTTTTGACCCCCTTCGCTCCTCTCTGTCTTAGACTGGTCTCCAGTAGCTCGGCCCAGTACTTCACTGTAGATCTCTGTATCTGCTTTCCTCAGTTGCTGGATGAAGGTTCTATGATGACAATTAAGGTAGTCATCAATCTGATTGTAGGGCAAAGCCAATTTAGGCATCCTCTCCACTATTGCTTAGGGTCTTAGCTGGGGTCATCCTTGTGGAATTTCCCTGGGAATTTCCCATGTTTTTCGTTAGCCTTTGAAATGACTCCCTCTATCAAGATATCTCTTTCCTCTCTCTCCCTCTGTCTTTCCCTCTTCTTAAGCATCCCATTCCCTCATGTTCTCCTCCTCCTCCCTCTCCTTCTCCCCTCCCCCTCCCCCCCACTCCCAATATTCTTAGGAGATCTTTCCAGAGGGATCCAAATATGTCTCTCTTAGGATTTGTTACCTAGCTTCTCTGGGATCGTGGACTATATAGTCTGGTTATCCTTTGCCTTATGTCTATTATCCACTTATGAGTGAATATATATATATATATATATATATATATATATACACCATGCTTGTCTATCTGGATCTGGTTTACCTGACTCATGATGGTTTTTTTTCTAATTCCATCCATTTGCATGCAAATTTCAAGATATCATTGTTTTTTTTTTTTAACCGCTGAATAGTACTCCATTGAAAACCTTAAGAAAGAAACAAAAATGTTCCTACTAGGCTACTAGGTAATCCCAGAAGTCTTTTTTTTTCCCATCTCAGTGCTCTCCAACACTCAACATTAGTTGTTTCATCAAGTTAATGGGAATGATAATGTAATTGAATGATACAGTGAACTTCACATTCACCAAAATCAGTCAACAATATAAAATATTTGGCTTGCCTTACATTTGCTTAAATTCTTTATTAAGGTGACACATTTATTTGGGAATCTGGTGAGAGGCTTGGGTGCAGAGTCTAAGGGTCAAAGGAAGTGCTCACAGAGGATCAGGAGTGAACTGGGGAATGGCTCTCAGCAGGGCAGCCCCAAGTCAGAGGCTATGTACACAGGACTAGGAGGTTAATTGAGTGTCATGCTCAGTAGTTTTCTTTCTGTGTTTGTAGCTGGAAATTTTATTAGTTTGCCACTATGCCTTGCTCAGAGAGGCAAAGAGGACTTTCAGGGAGTTGAGAGATGATGACACTTTTGATCAATGCACAAGTAAATGTTCTTAGAACTTTGACTATGGTAAAGTGGCCCTAACTCCCCAAGTAAACTATTTCCAAGCTTCATTTTCTACTTAATAATCAAAAAGATCATCATGTTGTTTTTATTTCCATATTTTCAAAGAAGAACGCATAGGAAACAAATGGATGACCTAGTAATGGAATTTAAAATGCTAGGTGGCCCTTACAGGACTGCCAGGTACTGGCTCTTATCACTTGCTCCTCGTACTCTCCAATATTAATTTTACAGACTCGTATTACAAGACGAAAGACATTATTTTTTTCAGGTGGAGCTTTCATTTTCTTTCCCAGTTAGGTTCTGACGGGCACGCACAGTGGTGACTACGATTCATGTTGTCACTGAAGTTTCAAAGGATGTGTCTGAACACTAACTTCATAGCTGTGTTTGTCTAGTGAAGGCTAAGTATCAGACACACTCTCTGACTGTGCTCTTAGGGCCTTTTCGTTCCCACAGCTGCCTTATAGCTCACCCCAGCACCTGTCAACTCCTCCTCGTGATGAGGAATGTCCTATCACTGACTGGCAGGTGGGTCATTTGCTGGGCGATCTGGAAATGAGTTTTCATCTCTAAATGTGTGTACTCAGCTGCTTCCATGACGTCTGGATTCCTTAGCCGTTCAGAAACAGATTCTCAAGGAGAAAGCACCCTGGTGCTCATGAGGAAAGGTATACGTCTTTGTCTTTCCTCCTCCACCCTCAATCCCCTCTGCACTCTGGAGGGAACCGATTTTATTCAGCTGGGCTCTGCAATCTGCCACAACAATCAGCAGGCAAGGCTCTGTGGCGAAGCTAATGAATTCCTCCTCTTGAACATGCAGTAGGTCCTTCAGAAGTGTTCAAAATGCCTGCGATTTGGTGCAAGTGTATATACCAACTAGAGGTTATTTTCCACACTTATTAATTTAAGCCTCCGCCTTTGACCCTCTGTTTTCTGTGTCTCAAAATCCTTTGCTCCCTTTGGAAATAAAATTCCCAGGGTTTAGGATGGAACTGATCTGGAGCAGCTTTCTACCTAATGACAGCTAGGCAGAGCTGCAAGAAATCTCTCAAGCCACGACGGAGCCTAAGTCCAGGACTTCTGTTACTCTTTCAGCAATTGATAACATCGCTCAACCGGAGCTGCTGGGAGCTGCTTCGTTTTGGGTGTTTGATGCTATCAGCTGTACCAGGGAAATCCAAGCCACCAGTGGATGCTCAAATCTGAGTCGAACAAAGACCAAAGAGGTATGATTAGTGTGCACTATAAAAAAAAAAAAACACACACATATATCTCAATGACTATAAATCCAGGCTTGTGAGCTAGTAAGTGTTTGTCTCTGTCGTTTCTGAAAACTGATTTCCGCGCTCCCCTTCCTAAAGGCAGAGAGCAGACTTCCTGCAGCCCTTCTGAGGCCCAACTGAAGACATTTCTGTGATAAAGATGACAGAAAGCAGCAGCAAACCTCGGCTTCCCTGGGGAAAGTCCGCCCCAGAGCTAGGGAAAGCATCCAGTGTTCTTTTCATGGGAAAATACGTCTTTGTTCAGAGAAGGAGGTGAGTAAATGAAGCCTTCTGCAACCCTGGGAGCCAAGGATCAGCAACCACTGGCTGCCCCGTAGCCCAGATAGGACAAAGTGAGGAAAATAAACAATTTCCTCTTGTGATGTTTGGGAAAATAGAATTTGACACTAGGTCCCGGAGAGTAATAAAGTATAACCGTACATAGGTTTTAATCTATGCCATTTTCTAGGAAATTGGACAAAAGTATTTCTTCCAAGTATAATCAGAAGTGTTGTTTCCTACCTGTTTTTATTTACCTTGTTTAAGAGATATTGGACACTAGCTAGTCTCTGGGCTGTAAATGGCTGCAGGGAGAGTGAAGGGCTCTTTGTCTTCCCACATTGTTTTAAATATTGCATTAATGTTGATCTAGGTGGAAGACATAACTTTACATTGATTACAATGTAAATGAGATTATAAGTGCATGCATAAGAATTTTTGGACAGTCCTTGTTGGGAAGGGAGCCCCAGATTCACTGCCATGACCTACATGCCACCGACTGCAGTGAAATCAACCTAATGATATGGGAATGTCTTTCTGTATATGTGCTGTTTTTACTGGTTAATGAATAAAGCTGTCTTGGCCAATGGCTGAGCAGAATAAAGCCAGGTGGGAAATCAGAATAGAGAGAGAGAGTAGGCAGAGTCAAGGAGACATCCTGCAGCAGCTGAAGGAGACAGACACCGGACACTTACCAGCAAGCCACAGCCTTGTGCCAATACACAGATTAACAGAAATAGGTTAATTTAAGATGATGTAAGAGTTGGTTAATAAGAAACTTGAGGTTGAGGCCAGGCAATGTTGTAGTTAATATAGTTCCTGTGTTGTGTCATTATTTAGGTCTGGACATCCGGGAAATGAACAAGCATTCTCCACTTACAACCTAGGGACATATTTTTGCCTTCATATTCAATTTTTAAGTATGTTTGGCAGAAAAAGAGGAGGGACTCTATGTCCATGATTTGAATGGTAAAGCAGTTGGTGTCACCCTGTCACAATCCTGTCTGAGCAGAGTTCTGTAGCTACTAAGTTTACTCCCTAAGAGGGACCAGTTCAAGTACACTTGTGTAGTGACTAGTTTTATGTCAACTTGACAAAGGCTAGACTCTCGAGAGATGGGAACCGAACTTGAGAAAATGCCTTTGTAAGTTCAAGCTATGGGCAAGCCTATAGTACATTTTCTTAGTTAATGACTGATTTAGGAGGGCCCAGTCCATTGTGGGTGGCGTCATCCCTGGGCTGGTGGTCCTAAGTGCTATAATAAAGCAGGCTGAGCAAGCCATGAAGAACAAGCCAGTAAGCAGCAACCTTCCAGGACCTCTACATCTGCTCCTGCCTCCAGGTTTCTGACCAGTTTAGTTCCTGCCTTGGCTTCCTTCAGTGAACTGTGATTTATGATATGTAAGCTAAACAAACCTTTCCTCCCCAAGCTGCTTTTGATCATGGTGTTTCATCACAGCCATAGCAGACACAGCTAAGACAGTTTGTCATTCCAGAAAGTTCTCCCCCCCCCATCCCCAGTGGGTTCTGTACTTCCAGTAACAGCAGCAGGAGACAAAAACTTCCAACACAGCTGTGGTCAACACATCACAGAAGACTGGACAGCTGTGTGTTTCCCATTTCGCTCATCCTCTAGGGTTGATCATACGTAAATGAAATGGTGATATCAAACGTACAAGACAGTGATAGACACGTGAAGTGCTTATCCACTTGGAGTTTCTGCTGGGAGGCACCTACTTCCATGACACAGCTTTCTCTCTCTTCATCCCATCAGTATATAGCCATGTGCATAGCGTAGACATCTCCGCAGTTACTGTAGTAATGCTTTTTATGATTTAAAATATTTTTTAAACTACCAACACTTTGAATATTTATGTGGGAGTGAGTGTGGGTATTGGAAAGGGGCCCATGAGAAGGGAAAGAGGTTTTAAGAGAGTAGGGAGAGTAATAGGGCAACTGTAACAAGACAATGAAAGGAAAATACTGGGGGTAGAAAGGTAAACACAAGGTTGTCCGCCAGGGAGTGTGGGACACACCGACCAAAAGCGTCTCCACGAAATGCTACACGGAAACCTGGATGCTAATTTTCAAAAGGTAAATTTCTTCAAGTAGAACATGTTGTTGTTACTCAGTCCATAAAGGGGCATAGACTTTGTGAGGCGAATACTAATTCCATATGTTTTACACGTTTTCTACAACTTGAGGTGTGTATGATATCAGACTACAAGGTTCCTGGGAATTATGCCAGGGCTTGTATTTCTAAATACACATTTTCATCAAATAAAAATGTTTTAATACATCATCTGTTTGTAAAGGAACTTACGATCTTCATAATCTTCATTACGATCTTCTTGATCATGGGGTGTTTTAAAGGTTACCTGCTCTTATTGTTGAATCTCGAGGAATTCCTGCAGGCTTCTCATTTGAATGTTTAGTTCCCAGCTAGTGAAATGGAAACCTAAAAGAACTAAGGAGCCTTTAGGATGTGATATCCAGTTGGTTGAGTAGTTCACCAAGGGTGGATCTTTGATAATGACACTTAACCCTGAGTGGACCTCCTCTCCCAGACAGTGGCATGGGCAGAGTCCTGATATTGATCCATGATGTGAATAAAAAGTGGCTTTCCCCACTGTGATGGACTGACCGAGTCCTTTGAAACCACAGCTCAGATGAGCATATGTTCCTTTTTGTGGATTTTCTTTGTTATTGGTCACATGAAGAAAAAAGGAATCTAATATACCTGAAAATTACAACTGTTAATTTGAAGGCCATGTTTGAATAATCTTTAGAAACAATTTTTAAAACCCTGAGACATTGCATTTAGCTGAGGGTTGTGGTGAGGAGAAGAATGATACATAAGGAGGCAAACTGACTTTGCACTGGGTGTTTCAAACCCCAATTCTTTTTTTTACTTGGGGTTGCATGCTTCATTTATTTCATTTTTAATTAATTAATTAACTAATCAATTTACATTCTGTCTGCAGTTTCCCCTCTCTCCTCTCCTCCCAATCTTTCCCCCACAGCTCCCCTCTGTTCCCTGTTTGTGTTTATGGTAGCCTCAAACGTACTTCATCAACTCTTTCTTTCTCTCCAAGCGTTCGCTTGTGTCCTCAAGATGTTCTCTGTGTTCCTCTGACTCCTGGTCTTGTCTGTGCAGCACATTCACCATTGGATAAATTCAAATTATTCATTTCTGATTCTGTTGCCTATACTTTTGAGGCATATTCACAAAACGCTGACCATACCTGTGTCATTAAGCATTTCCGCTGTTTCTTCTGGAAGTTTTGCAGTTCACGATTGTACGTGTGAATCTTTAGCCTGCATCAAGTTGATCTTTGCAGCTGGTGAGGAACCTGTTTCATTCCTCAGCACACCAACAGCAAGCTTTGCTCATAATCTGTTGAAATGGCTATCCCTTCCTAATGTGTGACCTTGGCTTTAAAAAACAATCAGTTGACAATAGGTTTCATTTTTTTTTTCTCTTTTCTGTCTCAATAGTCTCTGTACCTTTGGTAATTACAGCTTTATTGTAAATTTTGAAAACAGGCAATATGCTTTTTTTGCATTTGATTACTTCAATTATTTATGGTTCCATACAAATTTTACAGGTTGATTTTCTATTTCTAGGAAGAAATTCCTTGGTATTGTGAAAGGCATTACATTACGTTCAATATGAACCAATGTGATTTTTCGTGGGAGTATATAGATGGGTTTTTCTTCCAGCTCACAAATAAAAACATGGAGACTTATTAACTATGAAAGTTGGCTATCAGTTTAGACTTGTCCCACTAGCTTTATAACTTTAATTAGTCCATGTTTTAAATCTACGTTTTACCACATGACTTTTACCTCTCTCCCATTCTGTGTGTCTGACTTGTTTGCCATCTTGATGGTGTCTCCTCCATACCTCAATTATCTTCTCTTATTCGCTCTACCTGGAAGTCCCACATATCTCTCCTGCCTAGCTACTGGCTGTTTTCTTCTTATTACACCAACCGCAGTATCACATCTTTACACAGTGCACAAATATTCTGCCACATAATAGATTTCTAGCAATATTAATTTGTCAATCCCAGAAATACAGGTCACATTTCCAGTTTTTTATAAAATCTTTAATTTGCTTACATGGAAACATGGATGAAACTGTAGGAAACTACGTTAAATGAAACCAGCCAGTTACAGTAAGACAAATACTGCATAAGTCACTAATATATAGAATCTAAAAAATATTGGACTTCTTGAAATAAAGACTAGAAATAGCAATAACTTAAGCCTCTAGTATGGTGTGGAGGGGAAAGGGAGGAGAGGTAGGTCAATGGGCATCAAGTTATAGCTAGATAAGACTATAACCTGGAGTGATAAAGTAGATCAAAGTGACTATAATAAATAACATTGTTCCTGCTTTTCAAAATTGTCAGAGGAAAAAATTTGAGCAAAATATCTACACGCCTTTGAAGTTCTGAATATGCTAGATATATGGATCATAATATACTTCATCAATATGTCTAGCTATTATATGTCAATTTAAAATAAAAAAATAAATTTTTAAGAAGAAAAGTCATTTATTTTACTGCTTCAGATAAATTATAAGAAACTGGTCCTAACTTTCTCTCTGGAACCTTGTGACAGCTGGTGCCGCCTGTGTGTCCTCTTTCTTAATTTTTAGCTTAGTTTTTCCATGTATTGTTGGTTTTAATGAGGTTTTCCTCAGCCCACATTTTCCTGTTTAAATGTTTTCTCCAACAACTGATAGTGTGCAGATGCAATAGCAGATATTAGCTGTGATGTCTTCACTGAAACAAATTTATGATAAAATTCATTCTAGGCTAATTTGTTAAGACATGGACTTACAGGTAAATGTTGTAAAATTTGCATGTGAATTTGGGTTATTGTTCTGTGATTACAAAAGCCGTTAGGAGAACGGAAGACATACAGGACAAACCAAATTGATTATTTTAAAAGGGAAGTTTCCATACAGCCTGAGGAATTTTCTCCTCCATAAGATAACACTATTTTAGACTGATTCAGAAGATCAACACTCTAAATCCTTTAAAGTTCAAGTCCATCTGGAACCTTTCCAGGCTCGACTCTCACTTCTTTCCCTATTCGTCCGGTCAGTGCAGCGCCCTGAATTTCTCTCAGTGCACACAGAATCCTCTCTGGATTCTGTGCATCACACTCCACTTTCAAACTCCACTCCTTTCAGGAAAACCTTGTTGGCCTTCTATCGACTCCCCTCTTCATAGCAGTTACGGCTCGCCTGCTGTTAGAGACTGGTAGTGCGTGTTGCTCTTTTCTAGAGAACAATGAAAGATGGACTTTTCTGACTGTGCTCCTTGCCTGCCAGTCTCAATTTACCTGTGCTGACAAGTGGGTGGCAGTGGGAGACCGCGATCTCATGACCTCTGCTGTGCCGAGTGAGTGCTTATCTGTTTCCTAGAATTGAACAAGAGTTGGCACACTGCGTGGGCAAAATATACTTTTGCCGGTTTCGCGAAGCCTAGGTAGGAAAGGGAAACTGTCTCCACAAAATGCAGCCGACTTCTCATAAAAAATAGAAGGGGGAAAGATTGTAAGAGCCAGACAGAG